GCCCCCTTCAAACCATCAACACAGGCATGAAAATATTACAAACATCCAATATATTCAAAGGGGTAGACCATGTAGCAATCTAATTAAACAGGAGGAATCTACCATGAGAAGCAGGCTGTTAATAAATACTGTATCTCATCCATTATTTATGGCAAAATTAAGTCAGAAGAGCGCAAACTTGTCCGCTAGAAAACCTCAGAACACAAGCCCTATTATTCAGGAATAATCGGTTCTCGAAATACAGAGATTTAGAAGATATGTGGAGGCGCAGAAACACAGCGGAGACGAGGAGGGTTGCCAGAATATAAAAGGGAAAAAGAAAAAATATTTTCCTTTTCTCGTACATTAGCTACATTGCTCGCAGAAAACACCAATTGAAGCGATTGCTGTTGGGGTCATAAGAATGGTGACCGCGGATGATGAAGCTCAGAGTTCAGCTCAGAGACGACCAAACTTTTATTTTGATTAAACCAAATCCATCTGGTTTCCATTTAAGTTTCGACTGAGTACTTATTTCTGAGAGAGGGGTGGGGGTCCATGACTGGAAACAAAAGAGGAGGGAAGGCTGCTGTGGTTTTCACATAGCGAGTGTGTGTTTTTGTTGCAATAGTTGAGGGTGGTGGGGGGATTGATTCATCTGATTCCTTCATGCCACTGTGGCACAAGCTGTATGTATTGTCTGCTGGGTTACCATGGCAACAGCTGCAGAGTAAGGAAATCTTTCTTTCCTCCTTCATACCCCCACCCTCCTCCTCTTCTTCCTTGCTGTCCTGTACCTTGTCAAATCTCTGCTTCCCTCTTTCTCCCTCCCTCCCTCCCTCCGTCTTTCCGACTTGTACAGACATGGTTTTCTGAGTTTTGGGTGGGGAGTGTTCAGGTATGCATTCACACACACACACACACACACACACACACACGCATACACACACACGCACACATTCTGTCTGTGTGCTGCTGGTGTAACAGACTAGCGAACAATGAGTCTCAAAAAGAGACTTTCCTTTAAGAGGACCTGGAACTTCGGCACTGTAAGTAAACTGTGGTTCGCCGCCTGAGCCTCCTCTCCTTCCTCTGTATGAAGCGGTGAAACTCCTATTGTTAAGTCAGCTGTTTTTCTCATTAATTTCCCTCTTTGTCGCTCTTCTCTCCAATGTTCTGAACAGCTGTTTGAAGCTGCGGGGACTCGTGGCTGTTTGTTTGCGGGGTGCTAGAATCAGCCTTGACTTGATTTTTCTTTTCTTTTTTTATCCGTGTGTTTAACAGTTTACATCTCAACCCAGAAACTGACGGCAGGAACATGCCTAAACAAGACAAAACTCACTTTTGACACATCAGAAATCACTTTGTGAGCGGAGTGAATGAGCTGCATTTACATTTGTGTAATGTTGATTATCTTTTAACTCATTCAACTAGGTCAGGTGTCAGCCAAGTAAAATCCTGTAATCGTATACCAACTGTTCAGCTAATTGATTAGTCACTGGGTTAATAAAAAAAAATGCATTATCCCAATAGATAAACTAATAAGAGCAGTGAATGCACTCTGCCTGACAGCTTTATTAGACTAAATAAATCATAGATATTTAGAAAAGATTAGTCTTTGCAGCATATTTAATTTAAAGCTAATTATTAGAGCAAACACATATTGAGTGTTTGCTGTTGAGCTGTGATATGCAAACTGATGTTTGACCTTTTGGTCGTTTGTTTTACTGAACAGACAGAGAGTTAAGGTTCAATACATATTAAATCAAATGTTATAGTTAAAACTGTTAAGATTATGCCTCTATTACGTTTTCTTAGGGTAAGGGTATATGCAGGTACATCCTAATATTGGCATCATCCCTGGCCCTATGACAATTGGTTGGACAAAAGCATATCGACTGATGAACGTGTGTGTTTCAGTCATGATGTCTCACTTCAGATCACACACACATGAATCTGTCGGCGTGATCATCTACGTTCCTTTAGCATGTGGTGTCTTGAGATGCCAGACTACACGGCGTGGGGGTTGTACCACAGTAAAGCTTGGAAGAGCATTTTCCACCTGAAGAGCCACATCATGCTCTTTTCAGAGCCGGTGGGAACTCACTGTGACTTGAACTGTGATTTTGTCTGTTTGCTTGATAACAGACAGACATGTACGGCACTCAGAGCGATTCCAACTGTGAAATTGGATATTTGCAATCTGACCTCCGATGAAAGGGATCAAAGAGGGCCTGCAGTGCTGCAGAGCCACCCACAGTGGAGCAGCTTGTCACCAGAGGTGTCGACAGAGGAAGTGTCTGTAGACAAGAGGGGATGGTGTGGATGGGTCATCGCTTCAGACTCATTGTAGGGGACTTGTGGTCAAGGAGGCAGTTAAAAAACACTCGGCGGTGTGTGTGTGGTCTAACCCCTGCTGCCTCACACACACACACGCACACACACCGCCCTCTGTATCTTTGCCAGCTATACCTGTTCAACTTTTAATTATGTTGGTGTCAGTGCTTTAACAATTAGTCATTCAGCTAATTAGCTGATCTACAGTTTATTAACCGACAACAATTTATCATTTATGTCATTTATCAAGTTAAAGAGCAACATATCTGTTTTCCAGCCGCTCATACATGAGGATTTTCACGTATTTTCTATTTTAAATCATCTCAAATGGAATGTTTGGGGGTTTTATATTATTGACTGGACAAATCAATGTTACCTTGGACATTTTCCCACAATTTTTTGCAATTTGATAAGGCTTGGGTGTATATAGCCCCATTCAATGTACCCAAGGCCACTGTACAGAGTAAGGAAAGGAATGAAGGCAAACAGTTTATTAATAGAAAGAAATGGTTTGATTTGAAATAAATCTGATATGATATTGTTATAAATTATATGACACTTGATTAGATAGTAGGGTTTTGCCATATTACATTTGTTCAGATGTAATAGTTCCCCTCTGACACATGTATGATTTAGAGAAGCTGAGCTATGACATCATTAGTGTGTTGACTCCATCGTGATTTATTGTAACTCCCACTTATTACTGTGCGTGTCACTGAGGAGATGGAAGTTTCATTCCTACAAGACGTAGATGTCCTCTAAGACGTAAAATCTCTCCCTGTGGAGGCTTAAGCATTAGCAATGGCTCATTAAACATTGACAATAGTGAATATACCAATTCACATTTACGTCACATTGTTTGATGTCTGTCTTGTTCTTTAAAACGAACCGCAGTCTCAACACTCCATATATTTAAGGTTAGAGGTTTAGCTGTTTTTAGATCCAAAAGGGACGGACAGATGGAGTGGGTGTTCTCTCCTTTCTCCCTCCTCTGTTTCAGCTTCATGTTGGTCTTCGTGCTACCCACCCATGATTACTGTACCACCACAGAGGGGGCTGGCGTTTGGGTGTTGACTGCAGTCGGGAGCTCCGTATAGTCAGCAGCAGCTGAGTTGTAAAGGGACTGTGGCGGACAATTAGTGGTTTAGCGGTCTGCGTCTGATAGAGATTTTACATGTGGTCACTCCCAAAATGGAAGCAAGCAGCACATGACAGAGGTGACGTCCTCGGCCTTCAGAAGGCCGGTTGAAGAGGCCGCTGCACGTTATGTCTTGACGCGTTCTTAGGCTGATTGATGAGGCTAATACCTGATATTCAAAACAAAACTTACAGCCAATTAAAAATTATACTACGGATAAACACAAAAAAATCCACCGTTGTTTCCTCCGCCAAGGAGGTTATGTTGTTTGTGTGTCTGTTAATTAGCAGGATTGCACAAAAACCACTGGCCATATTACTTAGAAACTATGTGGATAGATGTGTTATTGGTCAAGAAAGAAACCTTTAAATTTTGGTGCGGATCCAGATTAGACATTGTGTCCAGGATTTTATTTATATTTTTTACTCTATTTAACATTGTGAGATTGTCAACACTTGATTTTCATAGTCATAGATTCTGATGAAAACAATGACGTTTATAATTTGGTGCAGACCCAAATTAAATTCCTGATCTAATGAATCTAACAGTGGATTCTTAAGTGGATATTTTTGGCCTTTGTGATTTTAGTTTGTCTTATATTTCTTGAGATATTGCAGCTCTACAATCCAGTATTATACAATGAAATACAAATTGTATCAACAGCTCACACCAAAGCTTAGTGTTTGGGAATAAGAGCCTTGTTTAGTTGCATTATCAACCTTGAATATTCACACTTTGAAGAGGCAGCTCAGCAAACACTCTTCTGGAAATAGTCTCCCCTTTTCAGATGAATCCTCCAACGCACAGATTTTTACTGTTCTTGGACCAAACCCTGAAATGCGCCTCTCATATCCTCCCCTGCCTTTCAATTTATTTACGATAACAGCTTCACAGATTAGGCGTTAAATCTCTCTTTATTAGCCCGACCAAAAATAATGCAGTCAGGTTTTTACAGAAGCCCAAAAGCTGAATAATTGCGATCAAATATTTGTGGAGCCATCATGAGATCAGGCACGTGTAGTGTTTTTATTGAGCATCATTCCTTGGCTTTAATTACACACCAGTTACAGAAAGTTGTCACCGTGAAATCTCCATGCTCACCGGGGGTGCTGGTGCTGTTAGGCGTCTATTCAGCAACATCTACTCATGCATAGACCACTTACTTCCTGAATTAGCAAGTGAAAGGAGGACCATTAAGGCCAGTGATGGCCTCTCAAGCAGCTCTGCCCTGATGAGCTCTGATCTGTGTGGCTACAGTTTGCAGGAATGCAAACCTGTGAGTGTGAGGAAAATATAAAATGAGGGGTGGGTCCTGTTGTGGAGGTGTGAACAGCTGTGTGTGGTAGCAAGCAGGGGTCCACCCACTTACAAATGAATGTTTTCTACTAGCACACACACACACTCACATTCTTACAACACACACCTCAGAGCTACTGGTCAGATGCCTGGAGAGACGCTGCTATCAGCAAAGTTTTCAGCCTCTTGTCTCAGGACAGGAGGTCATGAGAGCAGCTCCTCACTCATGTCTTTCTTTGTTCTCTTTCAGTCTGCGGCTTCTTCAGATGGCGGTGAGTACCATTCATTTACTACCACTTAAAAAAAGGGAAGCTTAAGTGTTAAAAGCAGAGTAGAATTCAAGCTATTTTATGGGCTATTTGGGATCTTGAAACTCAAGTAAACAAATGGCTTGTTAACAGGATTTTAAAGCATTTCATTCCTTATTGCTGAATCTTTTTCATCCCGTCTTGCTCATATTTGCTGCTCTGTCCATTTTTTCCCTGCGTCTGCATTTTTATTTCTCATTTTCTGCTCTAGCCTCAACAGAGGACTTTGTCGCCGCTCAATAAAATGGTCTAATAAAAAGACTTTTAGTGAGAATGATGTATGCACTACAGGCAGCATGTCTCATTAACAAAGGATGTTTGTTGAGCGTGTTTTGGGTCACAGTCGGTTCTAGCGTGCATGCTGTCTGGTCCTTCCCTTTCATAGCAGTTAATAACATTTGCTAACCGGCAGACCAAGGCTGCGGTTGTGGACACGCAGCACCGCTCCTTTCACTGTGGATGTGGATCAGACATGCAGGGCTGTTTGCTTTCTAAAGCCATCTCATTAACTGAGCCGCACACAATGTGGTAAACTGGGATCTCAGAAGCCTCAGTCCTAATACATTAAACCGTGTCCAAACAAATGGCATGTCAGCAAACTGTGGACACAAAGTGACACAAGGAAATCAGTCATCTGGCCTGTCGTCATAGTGAAAAAGATAACTCCCTGCACTTTCACAAAATCACATCTTCTGTTTATCTGTAACCAATTCTATTGTGATCCTTTTGTTTTGGTTTTACTCTGCACACCCTCCCTGCTTGTCCTGCAGCCCTAAAGTGGCCATCTGCTGCCACGATAGCAGGTACTGCAGAAGAAGTGCCTCCTTCTCCACTTTAGTTGACCCCCAGCTCCAGCTGGATCCTCACCCAGTCTCCCTCCTTTTGTCGTCTGTGTCTCCTCTCTTCTTCTTTTAATCTTCTCCCTCTTTGTGCTACACCCTGTTTGCTCCTCTTTTATCACCTGAGTGGCATCTGCTGTTCTGCTCCCTGTAGGATCTCATCAGATGTGTTGTGCTCCACACGTCCCTCTAGAGCTAGTAACAATAGCACCAGAGCCAAAATCAGTTTTTATTTTTTTAACCTATGCGGATTTATGTAGTTTCACCAAATATCTTACACTTTTGTGCAGTCCTGTTGAAGATGTGTGTTAATAGAAAAATGTGTTTTATTTTGTCTTAATTAAAAGGTAAAAAAGAACAAAAATGCAAAAGTCCACAGGAATATGAAAAGTTTTACGTTTTACCCTTTGAGCTCTCTAAAGCTTTGCATCACTCTCCTGCTCCTGCAGACTACAGTGGAGTCCAGTTGCAGGGATGCTGCAGCCAGAGCAGCCTGAACAGCAATGGCAGTCTTCCAGGAGTGGGCAGCCACCGGGGGGTTCCAGAGCAGCGCGTTGCCAGCTGGGCCGCCTGCTTCGAGCGGCTCCTCCAGGATCCAGTGGGCGTGCGCTACTTCTCGGTACGCTGGGTAGAAAAAGTTTGTCATGACGATTGAATGTTTGTGAAGTAGTGTTGAAAACAGCTTCAGAATTCAGATGTAGGAGTTAAACACAGGGAGTCCGTGCTACAGTTTAGAATAAGTTAATTCTGCTCATTAATTCAATCAAAGGAGAAGAAAGGTCAAATAAATATTCATTTATACTTGAGAGGGCACATTGACCCACATGTAGTGCAGTGATGTCAGTGCTTTTCTTAACAAATACTAGTTATGTATAAATTTGGTTCAAGTTCAGAGCCAGTTTTCCTTTATGTTACCAAACCTCCCACATAAAAGATGTGTGGTTGAATTTAGCCCACGACACCTTCAGAACGCTCCGCATTTAGTCCCGGCGTCCCAGAACCACCTCCCTCCCTCACCATCCCTCAGCGCTGATCAGAGCCGCACTCGCCCACTCCATCCTGCGCCCTCACTTACACCAATTTTGGTCACAGCATAACAAAATAAAAAATTTTCCTTCCTCGCTAGTGGCTCCAGCAGCAGTAGCAGCAGTTCTGGGAGGATGAGAAAGTGATCAGCACTTTGAGATCATAGACAAACTTTTTGGGATTGTGTGTCTCCACAGGAATTTCTCAAGAAAGAATTCAGCGAGGAGAATATCTTGTTCTGGCAGGCCTGTGAATACTTCAGTCATGTCCCTGCAACTGATAAAAAGCAGGTAAGTCCACAGTATGCAGCTACAGATGCAGTCAATGCTTTGTGCACTGTTGTACAATGTGAACTTCACAGTGGTTCAATTTTAGTTGTCTTGACAGCAGTGGTTTCCAATTTATCATTTTAGACACCTGAAGGACTCCATGCTTTTACTTTCTCAAATTCCATTAATAATCTCTGCTTCCTCGGGCTTCATCTACACTACTATGTTTATATTTATATTGTACCACTGTTGTTATTATGGTCAGGGTATGATATAGAGAGAACACAGTTTAAATACGCCATTTTGAAAAAAACTCTATGGATGTAGCCTCATGTTTATCTTGTCGACAATCAATCACTGTGTGAAACAGTTAGACAAGAAGACACAACATGGAAAAAAAGCTGTCTGCTGTTGTTTTTTTAATTCTTCATCACCTCTCCCTTTTCCTCGCAGCTGTCTCAGAGAGCAGGAGAGATCTACAACAGCTTCCTGTCCAGCAAGGCCACCATGCCGGTCAACATCGACAGCCAAGCCCAGCTGGCCGACGACGTCCTCACCTCCCCACGCCCCGACATGTTCAAGACCCAGCAGCTACAGGTGTGAACAGACAGCAGCAGAGATGATTAAATGAGACACCACAATCTGCTGGTTGATTTAAAAAAAACAGTGTTTCCACAGTTATTCCAATGTTTCACCTCTTTGATTATCAAAGGCTGAGGCTCAAGACTTTTTTACTCGATGGTGTTAACAGTATTATACCCCATATCTCTCATAGGGGGTTTGTTCTCAACTCGCCTTTAGCCACTTTGCACAAACATATTGAGTCTTTTGGTGGCCATCTGGGTTTGTTTACGAAAGGGCTCTGAGGCTTTACCAGAGAGATAAACACAAACTGGCATACACCCACAGAGAATCTAGAGCATACTGTACACACAGACACATAGACGAGCAGTCGAGAGATCTGTATATTTCCAGCCTGCACACGAGCATGGTAGAAATTGTAACTGTTGAGACACCTGTCATAACATTAGCTATAACCATATGTTAAGACTAGTATTTTTTGTCTCTCTGGTTTTAGTCTGTTCCTTCCTCTTTTCTCACTTTCATGAACCCTCGTGACTTCTGTCTCCTCATCTCCAGATCTTCAACCTGATGAAGTTCGACAGCTATTCACGATTCCTCAAGTCCTCGCTTTACCTGGAGTGTATGCGTGCTGAGGTCGACGGTCAGCCCCTGCCGGACCCCTACCAGATCCCCTGCAGTCCTGCGCCATCCAAACACAGCGCCAGCTCGGACCGCTCCACCCTGTCCACTCCAAAGAAGGTGCCACAAGAGGCTAGACTGCTTTAAAGCGATAAGAGAGGAGAATGTATGATCATCAGTTCAGTGTGACAGGTTAAGAACATATTGTTTGTCTTCCGTCTCACAGGAGGTCAGAAAGCAGAGGTCAGGGAGGCCACTGAACGAAGACAGCAAAGACGAAAGCGCAGACAAGAAACGTGGGATCTTCTTCTCGTGGTCCCGCAACAGGAGCTTTGGAAAGGGTCCAAAGAAGAAGGAAATTGGAGACGTTAACTTCGGTGAGAAATTAATTAACAAGCCTGTTGCCTTCTGGTTACAAAGATCCCCACTGAGTCTTCAGCAGCACGCAAACTACAGTTCTTAAGTGTCCACGAACAATACACCAAATCACTGCCAGCTCCGGGGTTGTCATGAACAACATGTAGGGGAGGCATGAGGAAACACAGCTGCCCTGCACTGATCTCACACACACACACACACATACACACACACACACACACACACACACACACACACACACACACACACATCGCTGGCATTATTACACAGTTAAGAGAGAATTATGAGCCAAGAGCCAGCATTTTAAAGAAACCAGTTTCAATATGGAGACGTGAAATGTATGTTTTAATGTTGATGGTTATAACATCATATTGTATAAATATAATAAAATGTAGCCTCACTAGTGCAGTGGCCGTTCTAAACATACTTATTTGTAATGGGTTGTTTGCTTGGCCTGTGGTAATACTGGTTGCAGCCTCCTTCCTGAAACTGTAAAAGTGGCCTGCAGTGCTCAGTCCACAGAACCCCGTGTTCTGTTGATTCAAAGTTCAGTGAAGCTCGACTCGGTAACAATGCACATGCCAACTGTGACATTTAAGACTTGTGAAATACACAAATTATGACCATCTCTCTTTTATTTGGTTGGAAACATCCTCCTTATGCTTACAGTGTATCCTTACCATTAAGTTGTCAGATATACAAAATACAAACGCCTTCTTTGCTGCCAAGGTTTTGTGTTGGAAAACTACGACCATCAAAAGAGTTATTAGTTCTGCTATAGCTTTACAGTGATGGTATTATGTACGTTCAAATCTCATTTAATCTGACTAGTGTTGCTATTAATTCTTCTCTGCATCAACTCATCTTCTTTTTTGTGTTTTGCGCAGACTTCTGGGGCAGTAATGGGCGGAGGGAGTCCCAGGGCTCCTTGTCGTCCGGTACCAGTCTGGAGATGGCCACTTCCTGCTCTGCCAGCAAGATTGAGGTAAGATTCCTCTGGACAGATCACCATGGCAACACAGGGCCCAGTCTCTGGTGTAGTCATCATTAAAGGCCAGAGCTGGGGTTTTTTTTTACTCGTCAGCCCACTCACTTTTTGTTTATAGATGGAATCATTTAGAAAATGAAGAAATTCATTTACAACTGAATCTATGTATCACACATTCTTCCATTTTGAGCTAAATTAACCATTTAAATCGTTTTCTTTCCCTAGTCTGATAATCGCCACTCAGTCGGTGTCTGGGAACGCGCCCCCAAAAACTGCAGCGTGATTCTGCCCAACGGTTCCTGCTCCTCTATCAGTCTTCGGCCCGGCGCCTCCATCAGGGATGTCCTCCATGATCTCTGCCAGAGCATTAACGTCAACATCGCAGCCGTCGACCTCTTCCTGGTGGGAGGGGAGAAGGTGAGGTGGGGCGGGGGTGCGCAGAGTCTTCCAACAAATTACTGACGATGCAGAGAACATCTGCTGCTAATAGATCAGGAATCAGAGCGGTGCTGCGAGGAGCTCTTGAATGAATTGACTCAGCTCTCTTGTTTATTACGACTCCTACTTTGATAAATACAGTATGACTGCACTTAACATTTAAATAGGCTTTGTTTTGTTGTGAGGAGTTATTGTGAGAAGTTAAGTGAAAAAATCTGAACTAAAATTGGACAGATCAGAAGATTTTACTGCAGAATATGTAAGTAGTTCAAGGTCTTGGTAAAAAGATTTTAGTTTTCGGGATTTATGTGTTGATATGTGTGATTTTATACTTTTCTTTCCTCGTAGCCTTTGGTGTTGGACCAAGACTGTATGACCCTCAGCTCACGAGACCTCAGACTGGAGAAGCGAACCTTGTTTAGGTGAGACAACCCATCAAACTTTGGCTTCATACGTCAGCTACATATTTTCAGTTTATTCTTTTAATGCTGTGATATTTACTTTTACTCTGTCTGCTCTCAGATTGGACCTGGTTCCCATTAACCGCTCCGTGGGTCTGAAAGCCAAACCCACCAAACCAGTCACTGAGGTCCTACGTCCCGTGGTGGCTAAATATGGCCTCCACCTCAGCGATCTTGTGGCCAAAATAGTAAGTCACCCCCCCGTCGCCTACAATGGCTTAATGTGTTTGAAGCTGCTGTGTGTCTGGAGAGCGAGTGTGTGACAGTGCCATAGGGTGGAGGATCTTGGTCAGGGGAGGGAATCGACCGCATCCTTTTCCATCTCTACACAGTGGTTAGTGCTCTGACTCAGCCCAGCCTCTGAAGATGGAGAATCGGGGCTATAATTAAGAATGACGACACTCCTCAAACATGCCGACTCTTTACTCCTCCCCTCAATCCCTGCCAAATGATTTATTTTAGTCTTGTGGGTTTCCAGGCATTATAACTGTATTATACTGTAGACCCGAGCCGAAACACAGTTTATAAATGAACCAAACTGCTCCTGCCCTCAGAAAACAACCGTATGCAAAGATGAATTAACTCGCAGCATATGTAGACTTCTGCAAAACAGGTGACGTCAGGAACCCGCTGAACGTCTAATTGTGTTTTGTTTTAGAGTGGAGAAACTGAGCCTTTGGATCTGGGTGCTCCCATATCCAGTTTGGACGGCCTGCGAGTTGTGTTGGACAAAATCGACCCAGCTTCAGGGAAAGGTAAAAAGATCGTACACAGTGTAATATTTAATCCCGAATACTAGAATGGCACACTTGAGCACATGCAGCAGCTAAGGCCCAGCAGTCCCCGTATGAAGCCACATTTAAATAGCACACACTCAATATCAGTCCCCTAAACCTGTCTGATTCAGTTCTCTGAATTAGTCCCTGGGAAATCAGTGAAAATAATAATAGACAGAAAATAATAGACCTTTAGATATTTTTATTCCCTCTGTTATTTTTTTCAGTTTTGCGTCAGTCACACGTTAAAAACTCCCTCGCTGTTAATGTTTTACAAACATTTTAGGAGGGGACAACTGGCTTGGACGTTTGCATTCTCACATAAAGCCCCTCAAGAAAGAGTTTAGGAAAATCTCCAGAGTTCCTTGCATACCTGAAAGCAACTAAACAAACAACAAACCAACAGAAGTGAAAATACACCCTTCTTGGTGGAGAACTTGGAGAAGTTTGACAGCCGATTATAAACCACGTCCACCTCTGTTATTCATGTGATTATCTCATTTAAGTTTTATAAAGCAGACATTTTAATTGTCCTCTCCTCTCTCTCTCATTTATTTCCCTCTTTCAAACAGACAAATCCAAGTCTTCCACTCTTAAAGGCCACCCTCCTACCAGGAGTTTTTCTGCAACAGTAAGTTCTCACAACATTTTCAGTGTCTCGTTCACAGGTGGTGTTGTGTCCTTTTCTGTGGCTTTGCTGCTTCTGCAACATTCAGTATCATTGAATATCAGCCCACATTAATCTTTATTAACACATAGCCAATGCTAAGCCATCCGTTGGTGTTTATTTCCTGTTTTTTTGTTTGTGTTCTTCGACCTAACACTGCCTGTGGCTGACTCACTCACTCATATTTCTCCGTGCTCGAGTTACTGCACCATATGTAGTCAGATCGGCCCAGATACTGGCAAGGTCAGAAAAGACGCTGAGCCACCAGATGGACCCGTCTCATCTTTATTTGAAGGTCTCAGTAAATCTGGACACTCGGCTCAGTAGGGTGCTCAGCAGCTCATGCTTACCCCCATCCCCCTCCCACCCTCCATCCCTCCATCCCCTAACAGAGTGCATTGTTATTGTTGCATCTGCAGGGAGATGAGAGGTCAACACCAAAGGACTTTTCTGTGAGAGCAAGTGGACCAGACTCAGCACTCCCAGGGGAAAAGAGAAAACAGAAAAAGATTAATATAGATGAAGCTGAAGGTAAACCCCCCTTTTCCTTCATTCTCTTTCTCTTTTCTTTCTTTTATTTGTGGTGGATTTCTTAGCTTCGCTTCGCCTCAGGACTAACTGATATCTTTGGCATCTCTACAGGGTTATCTGTCTCTGTCAGGTGCGAGGCTGCTGCGCTGCATGTTAAACCCAATTAATCCCTTTCTTCGAGGCGTTCACCTGTTCAGAAAGTGAGAGAACTTGTTGTGGTTTGTTTTGCAGAATTCTTTGAGCTGCTGAGCCGGGCGCAGAGCACCCGAGCCAATGACCAGCGCGGACTCCTGAGCAAAGAAGACCTGGTGCTTCCTGACTTCCTGCGTCTGATCCCACCCATCTCCTCCTGCTCCGTCTCCTCTGACTTGGCCTGCTCCACTCCAGATTCACTAAAACAGAGCAGAGAGAACGGTGTCCCATCGCGGGCGCCCTTCACTTCCAGTCTTCGCTCTGAAAGCCTCGACTCCTCCCTCAGCTCGAGTGCCAACGGACACTCCGGAACCAGGCGGTGCCTGCTGCCCCCTCCCCGCCACCCAACTTTCGGCATGCACCTGTCCCCCATCCCCCGGCCCTCAGACACCCGGCCGAGCCTCCGCACCGTGGAGGAGGACACCCACTCTGACCTGACACTCGTGGGTGAGGGCGACATCAGCAGCCCCAACAGCACATTGCTGCCCCCGTCGCCGTCCCCCATGCTGTCCTTCGATAGCAGCCTGCCCGAAGCCAACTTCACTCCACCGCCACCCTACCCCCAGTCTCAAGACGCAGGTGGAGAGGAAAAGTCCACTTCAGGTATTTCTACAGTGTAACCAACCAGTGCTCCGTGTGTTTGCGTGTGTGTCGTATGTGCATGTGTGCGCCCCCTCTGGTGGTCTCTACCCGTCCACCACCCCGATCAAACCCCCTCTACACTGACCCTGATGCACTTTAATGACAAATTGATAATGACTCTTTCTCAGTTTGCCAATTTCCTCTTAAACTGATTTGTTTTACTGAAACATAGCAGAGCATGTGTGTGTGTGTGAACATGATTACACTCAGATCATCATGTAAATAGTGATGTGTATATTTTGTTCAGTCAGTAACGTTTACTTTGATGTCACTCCCCACTCCACAAATTGTTGGGTTCGCCATATGACTGGAGTTTATTCCAGTTAGAATTTATTTTGTAGGTTTTGGGTGCATGAGAATGCTGATGTAACTGACTGCTGAGCTTTTTTAATATATGAATACTGCATACAGATAAATAATCAATATTTGACAGTACTGTAGTCAGTAAATGTTGTACTGAGGTTTATAGTTCAGAGCAGCCGAAAAACAATGAAAAGTGGTGAGATCAGCAGATGTTTCCAGGTGTTACAGGTTCATGAGGTTCATGAGGTTCATCTTATACAATTAGAAAACATTGTAGGTCAGACCCATGGAAATGTTGCACAGTGTTGGACGTGCTGATGCTAATCGGTCATTACAAAACAAATGCTGTATTCCTCTCCATCCCACCACCTCTAGTTAAGCAATTCAACAATGTCAGCGTCCAAGAGCTTCTTCTTCTTCTCCTTATGTAACGCTCTACAACCAGTGACTCATTAAACGGTGTCGGCTCGTGCTGCAGCAATTTGAGCAGCGGTGAAAATAATTAGTCACCGAAGGACAAGTGCTTCTCAGCGCCGGTGACACTGTTGAATTGCTGTCATTCTTTATCTGGGTCACCCCACTCCCTCCCTCTCTCCCTCTCTCCCTCTCTCTCTCTCAAATTCCTGTTGTAGATAATCACTGCCAATAAACTCTGTACCTGTGATTGAGTAGATCTAATAAATGTTAGAATTGGAAATCACTCTCGTCTGTCTTTTTACACGTTTGTAAGCCCAGTATCCATCCATCCTCCTCCTCCTCCTCCTCCTCCTCCTCCTCCTCCTCCTCCATCGCCACCTCTTCTCTCCTCCTCCGCATGCCTTCTTTCCGCTCTCCTTTAGCTCGGTCTCATTTTGTCTTGTGGCTTCTTCTTTTCGTCAGCTCCCACTCCTTTCTGTGTACTTGTGTGCGCTCGTTTTCATGGAGCCGCTGCTTGCTGTCTCCACATTGTTGTGTGTGGCATGTTTGTGCGGTCTTGTTAAACACAGCTTGGTCTACCTGCTTGGTGTTTTTTTTATTTATGGGGTCTCAGCTCTGTTGTGTGTAGCTTGCAGCGTGGCATTGTGGATCTCTTGATTCTGTCCTGTGTGTCAATTGTTTTCAAAGCTTGCTGCAGTGTTGGTTCTGTCAGTGTGAGGTGCAAGGTCATTGTCGTCTCCTGCAAATGGACTTTCATCCACTATTTCCAGTGTTCAACTATCATTTTCCCCGCTTTCCCACTGTGTACGTTCAGAGATGAGACTTATGGGTAAACAATCAAGTGGTGGGCTGATTTCTAAAGGTGTTGGATTCTTCTGCAGTTGTCAGATTCTGTTGCACCGTGTGTGTGTGTGTGTGTGTGTGTGTGTGTGTGTCAGATATCCATTTTTGATTCTAGCTTTCATGAAAATCCCAGGAAGCCTCTTTTGAAACTCTTGTGAACGCATAAAAAAAGAAGAAGATAATCACACTCGATACGTTCCCAACAACAAAGCTCGTTTGATGAATATCCTGCACTTCAAAGCTTTTAATCGAGGCGGCTGCAGACGTGTTCACTCTGACCTCGCCGCCTCGTGTTACTGGCCCGGTCTTTAATCAAAGGTGATATGACGATGATGAGGAAGAATCGAAGCCTTTCAGCTCCTCCGCAGACTCACTCCTCTTTTTCTGGTTGCTAAGTGCACGCTCCCGATTCTTCCCACCACCACCGGGCGCCATGGTAACCTTATCCAAGAGTTAACGGAGCTACAGATAGAAACTGTCACTGCTGGTTTTCATCTTATCTCCGGGGCCGATTTCTCTCCCCATTCTCCAACTTAATAGCTAAAATTGGAACAACTATGATTCAACAAAGACATATTTTTAACACTGTTTGGCTGAATCTGCTGGAATCCGCCTCCGTTTTTTAACACTTTTTAGTCACTTTATGAAGTTGTTAGAGTTTGAATTTGGGTGGAAAGACACTTGCAGGTACATAGTGTTCAAAAACTCACTGATTTAAATTATGAATTCAAAGCACCAAACAAATATGATTTAATTTAATTGTTTCTCTCTCACTGTCAATCAGATTGATTCAGTCACTGCAGACCCGCTCCAGTTTGTGTATTACTGTGTCATACTGACGCCCCCTGCTGTTCCATTACAGCTGATGTGGATCAACATCTCCCTTAAATCAAAACTTACCTAAGAGCTCATCACAACAGCAGGAAACATAAAGTGATGTATAAGAGAACTGAATGAATGACTAAGTCTAAATATGAGATTTTCCTTTATAAGAGTGTTTCTGTTTTTGGATACACTCTAAAAAAAATTCACACCAGAGCACCTTTGTATCCAGAGGAAGAAAACTGCTGCTCTCTGTGCTCAAGTGGCTGTAATCACTGTCTGGCAGGTCTCAGGTCTGTAGGGATTAGGACGTCCACTAGGGGGTGACATCACACAGTGTAACTCCATTCTTATGAAACTGGGTTTAACTCAATAGTTTTTAGTTGAGTCAACAATAAATCTGTATGTCGTACAAAGGATTCAATTAATAACAATTAGTATATTGTAGAGGAGATAATAATGAGGTTGTGTTTCTGTTTCCTGTCAGCAGTGAGGGTCAGAGGTCACCCACACACAGAAGATTAAAACCTCAGAGTAAATGAGACATCCACGATCATCAGAAAGTGCTCTGTAATGACTCTGTTCCCAGCCATGTGCACCCCAGGCACCATATGCCTCCATTTCCCCCCTCGGGCATAATTTCACTATCTGCCGCACTGTGTCTCTGCATCAGCTCTCAGAGCGGGCAGCCGCCGACCTGGGGCCGGCCTTATCGTCCATCTGGCGGTGAGAGCAGGGCTCCGCTCGGTGTTTCTCTGGCAGCCGGCCTCGGCGAGGGCTGTAGCTGGGTCCGCTCCAATCTGGCCGACCCGTCTCAGCTCCCTGCTGCTGCTGCCATGACTGTGGACGAGTCTCACCACAGGAATCAGAGTCACCAAGTTTGAATATTGAAAACATCATGCACAATAAAATCCATAGCTGAAAAACAAAGACGTGAGACACTGTTCTGATGAGGTATAGTGAGGTTATGGCTTCAAGTCTTTCATACATGTTTCTTTATTGGTCTAAGTGACACATCTTTAGGTTTTGGACTATTTGTCTGATAAAATACTATTTAATCCTAATTAATTGCTTCGTTATATATCTTGTAAGAGAAGCACTGAGGGGAACATAAAGTAAGCTGATTGCTAACCACCAATAAACCAGGTCAAAGAAGTTCTGTTTATTTAAAGACAACTTTAAACTGGGAAAATCTTTTATGAGCTAATTGAAAAGAGGTTGCAGTCTCACTTGTGAAGAAGCAAAGTGTACATGAGAACTGTTTCCATATCGTTGCATATTTTCATGAGCTGAAGCAAACAAATTTGACCTTCACATGTCAATTTCAAATACATTTTTAAACCTGAAGCAATAAAGCTAACCAGTATTTCAAAATAAAAGAGAAGTTAGCCTTCAAAATTAAGATTTTCCCCATGTCTTCCTAAATGCCATCATACTGTGACCCTTCAGCTCTTGCAACACTTTAGATATAGAGAATGGACCAGCTGGGCAGAGAGGATGTATAAATCCCTTGTATTTGAAGTAGTCAGCGTTTTTAAATTTATGTAATCCTAATTCATCATAATGTGTCATCTAACAGCTCCACATACCAACATCCACACATCACATCCTGCGGAAAAGCCTGTGACGGAGATCCTTGTCGATGCTGCACAAGTTCTGACAAGTGGCCAGAATTATTTTTGATTTCAACCAATGTCGTGACAACTCGTTATCATCTCCTTCAAACCCACAATTTTGTAAAGTCCTCGTATTTGCTTTGGTGGTTTCAATCTAGTCGTCCACCTTGCACTTGTTATTTTGAGGGTCAGCTGCTGGAGCTCAGAGATTGTGTTTACACGTGTGCTGGACGGCAGTGAATCACAGAGTTAGGAGAGTCTCTGTGTTGAAGTGCTTGAGTTACTGAGGCCTCAGTGTTTCGAGTCTGAGGGGCCACAGGGTTCACAGGACAATTTGAGAGTTGCCAGTGTCCCGAAAATGAAATACAGGTGGTAATGATGAAATCTGCCACATGTGACGACGCCTGTCTTTCATCCTGGTTGAATGTCATCAGGTTCTTTCCCATGAGTTGGCAAATGAGCGAAGCAAGTTGGAGCAGCAGCGGTTATGTCATCAGGTCTGTCTTGACGACAGCTCTCCGGATTACACAACTGTAACACAAACGCAGCACGACGCAGATGTGTTTGTTCAAGTGGTGCAGAGTTAAAGTGTATGTGCACCCGTGGGTTACAAACTTTCCATGTCTTACATCCTCTGAAATGCGATGTATTGTATTGTAAAGTCAGTGCTCAGTCACCGTGTAAGTCATGATAGGGTTTTGTTGTATCTGTGTTTGGTTGCCGTGACAACCATATGTCAAATAAGGATAGTTTGCCTGGTGTGGTTTGATTTTTGTCTTTAAGAAATCTGCAACATGCAACAGTTGTTCGTTAAAATGTCTTATTTTGACCTATTTTGTTGACTTGTGTACTTATATATTATTAAATCACCAATTTTAGTCCAGGTAACACAACATTTCTGTTTGGTCGACTTTTGAGTGCTGCACATCCACTTTGTACGTGGCTTTGCTCATCTCTGGCAAACGAAGTATCTCGAATGAAAAAAACACAGCTAGCCAGTTGCCCAGTTTGCCAGTCGGCTGTTTTTTCCTAATGGATCATGTTAATTCATTGCCCTTTGCTCCCTAACGTAAATGCAACTTTAAGTCATTACCTCATCTGTGAACATAATTTGAGTCGCATCACGTTGATTTTCATCTGCATTGGTAGTGAAGATTGAGAAACCTGTAGTGGCTGAAGTTACATAGCGTGTTTAAGTGTTTGGTTGTTCACTGTATTTCACATTCACAGTTTTCTCCACAATCCACGATGTTTGATCTCAAATTTTCTTTTTCTTTTTTTTTTTTGGGACGAACAGAAACAACCCCCAAAGCCAGATCACCTGGCGACAGGGCAGGTGGCACACAGCCAGTTCAGGAGGTGATGGACGTGGAGGGGGTGCATCTCGAGGAGGGGACGCTGGAGACGTCCCGGGGGGGGGAGGACTCTGAACTCAGCCTGAGCTTCCAGGGCTACGTGGCCGAGCTGCGGCAGTGCCAGAGCAAGATGAGGACGGGCCAGCTGCCCCAGAACGGCCGCAATCCACCGGAGGGCAACGACTGCAAGACTGAACTTTACAAGGCCACAATTGTCTAAAAGGGAACCCCCCACCCCTCCCCCCAACCCCCACCCCACTGCTGCACTTTTTACGCCTGAGGCAACGTCTTTTGGAAGACAGCGAGTCAAACTGATGGGCTGCATGTAGAAAGATGTAAATGACCACTCCAAACATTACAGTGATAGATATTGTATATTTCTTCAGACTTCTGGCGTCTTTTACGTTGACTTTTAGTACTGGTTGTAATTTTGGGACAGTGGTACTTTTTGTTATGCTATAGTTTGATAATTAGGCAAAGAAATTCTATCTTGATTCATGTTAGACAGAGGACAGCCATGGAAGAAGCCACTTTAGGTTCCATTGTCTAATGAGGCATACATTACCAATTATTTATTTGTGATTTTTTATTTATTTATCAGTTATTGGTTGCTGATAAGGGATTAACATTATGAAATGGATGAAGGGATTTAAATTTATTACAATTTACTGACACTATATAATTCAATAAATTAAAGTAACTTGGTGTCGTATCCAGCTTTTCTCCACTACTCTTCCTCTGAGGAAGATACAGTTAAAACCTCCAGAAGAAGCTCGACAATATATTTTTAATGAACTTATTCCTAAAGCATCATTAAAGTATACATGCGACAAAACAAATCTTAACCTAAGTGTCTATTTATTAGGTTTTTTCCATTCCTGCAACATCCTGGAACTGATAGAAAATATTGCTATTGCTAAAATATTAAGACGTTTTATTACCTTTGAGTTTAGCAATTAATCAAAATTAATTCTGCAATAAATTGCAACTTGTAAATATTGAAAACCAAAACTCCATGTCCATTCGTTTCCTATTTCTGAGATGAAAAATGAACTTTGTAATGTGTGCCCTGTTGGAAAGTGGTGACCTCAGTTGTTGGATCAGAACGGAGGCAAATCACGCTTTACTTGGATATTCAACTATTTCCTGCGTATATCTTCTTCCTGTGTTTTACAGATGCTAATACATGACAGTACTTCTATTGTCTGTACTGTTTTCTTCTGTGGTTTTGAGGTTGTCCAAATGTTGAATGATTAAAAAGCTTTGACGGCGGCAATCCTCGTCTTTCCTTTTCTTTTCCTCGCTGCATATGATTGATGCTGGTGCTTCTGACAGCAGGGAAATCCTCCCCATCCCATTCCAAACCTTGTAAAAACATACCTGAAATACTCTTTTGTTGCAGTCTTGTCTTAGGTAAGACTCCTTCATTGACAATCTTGGCGTGTTTGGCCGGTTTAATGTGTTTGCTTTGCCAGAAATGTCAATAATTAACGCTGTAGTTGACTTTAGCTGAACAATTTCCTCTGTAGAACCTTTACCTGCGGATTAGTTGTGAATGTGCTTTTTCCTCGTCCGGCCTCCTCTTTGTATTTTTAGCTCAGCATCTGGAGAGAGATTATTACAGCTGGTGAAAATTAGAGGCTAGAATATGAGACTTTGTCGTGACACAGCATGTCAATGCTGGAATGCTGACAACGAGACCAGGAGAGTTAGTTTAGCTTTTCACCTCCCTCATTTCAAAGCCACCGTCATTACTAAGTTCTTCATTAGAACCATTTGTTCCTTCCAGACTCTAGATAAACCCCCAGATTGGACTTTCTCTTATCAGGATATCAGGATAACTCAGTAAATCAGCTGGAAGTGTTTTGATGTGCAGACTGCTTCCACTCTGTGCGTGCTGGGACTTTTATTTAGAAGGGCAGAAACCTCTTTATTTCTTCAGTCAGTTTTGCAGCAATTAAAGCACTTCTAACGTGATGTATTAAATATCAATAATATTAAAATACAGCAAGTGCAACATACGTCCCAAGGAGAACAAATCAGAGGGTGACAAGTATAACAACCAAGAACTGAAATTAAAGTACATTTTTAAGATAAGATAGACTTTGTTAAAGTGAATTCTTGTACCAGCCACTCCCTACTGGTGAAGGGATCTAACTGCAAGGTAAAAACATTTTCTAAACAGATCCCCCCCAAAAACTTTCACTTTCTAAAGCAGCATTTTGAGAGTAGTTGGCCTGACTTTTTTTTTTTTTAATGTTATTTGATTAATTTGTAACATTCATACATTTAATACGAGGGCATTAAATAAACCTAGAAAGCCATGTACCTCGAGACACTACACAACTGAAGATGGTGTCCTCATACACTGTCGTGACGTCACTGTATACATATATCTATACAAAATCATACACCTGCCCAACATCAAATTTGCATTGTTATTCATAACAGAAAGAGCGGAAGATAAACTAAAATGTTAACTTGCTTTCTTGTCCGAAAATATTTCCCCAGCTGGGATACAAAACTGTGAGATCAGCAGAGGAGCTGAAAAATATGTCCCTCTCACTGGTGCAGGACAAAAGCTTTGTACCTTTTCTTTAATGAAGATAGCTCTCTAATGACTATTTTTGATATATTTATAATTGTTGCCTTATGATTTCCTTGGTTTGTTTGTTTTCTTTCTGTTTTGTTTCGTCAGATTGGCACTAAACTTTAAAGATATGGAATGCACCGAGGGAACTGTGGATTATTCCCCAATGTTACAGAACAGCACACTTAAAACACAAAACTAGTTTCCAAATGTCTCCTGCCAGGGATGATAAAAAAAAAGCGTCCTGCACTCAACTGAAGACAGAAGCCAGGTGTCGGTGGGTTGTTTGACAAGTGGAAATGGGGCTTTGAATGATGCCTCTGGTGGTCTCAGGGCCCTAATGGCCCCTGGATCCTCTGCCTCAGCCTCTGGAAAGTTCCTCCATTGATTATAAACCGTGGGTGTGAGGGAAGCTCCAGCCACCTGGGATGGGATGCCTCAGAGCCTAATGACGCAACGGGTTTACTCAATAGCGCTTAATATTGTGAGGGACAGGATAATACATGCAGGGATTCCCAGGCTTCCTATGACCAGCATTAGTCTGAGGACTCGCAAACTGTCTGGTGTAACGTGACTGATCCTCCTCCACCAGGAAACCAGCAGCTCCGGACACCGATGCAAACTCTCACGATGGCTCACATCATGTTACTTTTCCTACCTTGTGTTCTCAGCGTCGGGACGGTAGGTTCTCGCCATCTCATCCACGTTTGCGCAACTCTTTTTTTTATCCACAGTGCCAGCGTGCGTAAAAACTAAAGGAAGAAACGCGCCAAACGACTTTCTCTTGATTTGTTTTCAGCGCATGATGGTCCCTGGAGGAGAAGGAGTCATCTCCACAGAGGAGCAGAGGGAGAGCAGGAGAGGTATGTTTGACTGAGTCCTGTGTTTAATTCAGAGGAAGAAAAGGGAGGGAGGGAGGGAGGAAGAGGGGATGCACATTAGACTGGCACTGAATGGGATGAAGGCTTTTACTGAGAAAGTCTGTTGTGCAACATGAATCTGGAGTGTGTGGGTAGGGCTGGGCGATAAACCCTCATCAAAAATTATCGCGATTTAATTGTCATCAAAAGCAATAGCAACGGTTCGATACATATTTGTTGTATTGATTATCATGCAGCGTAAAAACACAGTGTGGATGTTTGACGCTTCATTGATCCACCTCAGAGTTATCGAATGTTTTTCTGTTCATCAAGTTCAAACTGAGTCGTTCTTAAAGTTGTTGTCAAAGGTGAAATGTAGAAACTTCCTCTGAAACTAGAGCACGACTGATCGGTCTGTAAATAAATACTAATGTGACGTTTTCTCGCGATAACTATCGATGTCGACTGATTTTTAAGTTGAAATAACCTTTGCCTATATCATCCGGCTCTGCCCACGTTGAAACGCAGGCTATGTAATTGTCTTCAAACCATAATCAAGATCGTGCTTTTCCAGTTTGACTGCAGGATGTATTGATGTCACGTTCAGATTCTGTAACGCTTTATATAAATTAGTGAATATCTGAGTGTAAGTGCACAGTTTGAGCACAAGCAGAGCAAATCCACGCACAAGTCGGAGCTTTCTGTGTGCGATCGGAGGGTTTTGAGTGCAAGCGTATCTGAACGTGAAATCAATAAGTCCTGCTCTCAAACAGAAGGATAATGATCTTGAAAACACAAAGAAAAGCAGAGGGATTGTATATCTCAATGGGACCTTCCTGCTTAAATAAAGGATAAATAAATATATCATATATCATATAATAAAAATTGAGCATGTGCTTCTGTTGGTCTGTTATTTGTCACTCAACAGCAGGATGTAATTGGCCTTGTCAAAGTGAAAGCAGTTTCTGTGTGTGAGGTACAAGAGGGAAACTGCACAAGTGTTCTCATTTCACCGCTTTGTGTTTTTCCAGTGAACGTATTATTTCTTTCTTCCTGTTTGTCAGTTCTCACTACGACAGGCAAGGAGTGTAAATTTCCGTTTCGTCAGGGCGGCCGGCTCCACCATCACTGCGTCACCATCATGTCCCCGAGACCGTGGTGAGTCCTCTACCTCGTCTGGATCCACTTTTTTTTGGTTATGCAAACAATCGTATGTGTGTGCAATCACCCACGGTTACCACACACTTAGGTCAGACTGTGCTGCATCATCATTTTTTATTTTGTTCAGACACACACTCTGTATGACTCTGCCTCATGGTGGCATGACCTTAATTGAACACTGTGATTTTCCATCATGCATTGCAGCTACGACACTGAGGCAGTGTGTAATCGTGGCACTTAATTACAGGTCACGCTGATGAGGGATTTGTGCAACAGGAAACATAATGCAATCTTTTAATGAGGGAATGAGCTAATTCGCTTTAGTGAAATTCTCATTTCTGAGTGGTGTGTGGGCCGCGTAATGATTTGTGTGTCAGAGTTACAACATCAAAACAGAGTTATTGAAAGGAGTTGATTTTTAAGGTGAAATGTAGAAACGTCCCAGAAGCTAGAGCATGGCCGGTGTGGATGTTCGGGGTCTGATGCCGATACTGATATCAATGAGTATAGAATTTGTGACATTGATATATCACATGGATAAAACATACATATACATGTTTCTGTCAAGTCAGTGAGTCCTAAGATGTCGTTATCAAAAACTAATGACTGAGAAATGTCATTGAGGTTTAATATCTCACTGTTTAACCCTTAAACTTTATTATAACTATGCTCGGAAAATACAAATCTTTCATTTGGACTCAAAGAAGAACAGATTCGATTTCGGTGGTCGAAGATCAAGGTTTCCTCACAAACATGTTGTAGCCTCCTGAACATCTCAAGTCATATTCTATTCTCGAACAAAAAATTCTTAGACTGTAAATGTAGTGGTTGGTAATTCTAGTTTATTCTGTAAAATAAAACTTTTCATATCGTCTTAACAAAAAACGCAGATACTGAAAGGCTCACGTTTTTACAGATGAAGTTCAAAACACACTCACCACTTGTTACAGTTCATCCTGAGGGTGTGTATCTGCCTCTGCAAAACCATCATGAGTGCATTTTTATTACCTCAGATTGGGACACAGCTGCACTTTATCTTTTTTTCTTTCATTGGATGTGTATTTTGGAAAAGTGAAAAGACAACAGACTTGCTGTGGGGCTCTGCACTCGTCGTCATTCTTTGGAAATGAGACAGTCAGGGCGGGTGCCAGGCAGCAAGATGGAGCAACACATATGCAATTACACCTTATACAGCCCGACGTCTCTGGTCCACCTACACATAAACACATTACTGCAATATGACCCAGCATGTTTCCGCGATGTGCTCATGCGCCCGGCGATGAGATGGATTTACTTTTATGCTCCGCAGATTCAGTGAGCGGCACAGAAGTATGCTGGTGGTTCTTCTCATTGATTAAATGAGTGGATGATTGATAGAGTTCACCAGAGTTGGTTGGTTATTACAGAGAGTGTGGTTTTTTTTCCACATTAGACTCAAACTGGCTGCTAAAGTGTAACTTTTGTATCACAGAGAGGTGGTTAGATTACGTAAAATCATCCATCGTGATAGAAATGAGTTTATGTCACTCTATCGGTGTTTTAAAAACTATCTATCTATCTATCTATCTATCTATCTATCTATCTATCTATCTATCTATTCATCTATCTATCTATCTATCTATCTTTCTATCTATTTATCTTTCTATCTCTCTATCTATCTATCTATCTTTCCCTTCTCTCAGGTGTTCACTCTCTCATAACTTTGATCGGGACCGGCTGTGGGGTTTCTGTGCACCGGACCGAACTCAAACAAACAGTAAGTTCACCGAACACAATAAAAGTGCATTCAATCAGTGACATCAGAGTCATTGTGTCATGACTCTTTCTTCATCATCCTCTCATCGTGCTCTTCTTTCCTCCTGTGTTTCAGTTCTCGTCCACACGTCTCGTAAAACCACAGATCCATGTCAAGCGAACCCGTGTCAGAATGGCGGCGTCTGCGCGTCGAGCCCACACAGACGCACGTTCGAGTGCCGCTGTCCTGAGAGATTCTCTGGGAGACTTTGTGAACAGAGTAGGTAGATTATTACTATTATTATTAGTCTATGAGTTAAAAGTATAATGCGTTTACTTTACAAATGAAGCCTTGAATTTGGGTTCGTCAGATAAATTTGAGTATTTTTATATACGGTTGTGTACAATTCAAAACAGCGGAGACATAGTTTATATATCATCCAGTTGTCATGGTGATAAACTGACGACTGATTTAGGATGTGAGATCAGTACAAATACCTGGAAAGAGCTAAAAGCCTCAAATAGGATTTATTTGTTGGAGATTGTGGAAAATGTGTGTATATGCAACTTTAAAAGTTAATTTCATACGTCGTGCTTTGCAAAATCAAAATAATGGAGTTTTTATTGCCAAAGATTAAGAATCCTATTTCACTCTCTTCTTTGTGTTGCCTCTGTTAAAAAGATTTCACCTTTATTTCCAGATACGATACAGAAAATGGAAAAATCAGTTATGAGTCACTTTTGAAATTGTTTAAATGACGGACTAATAAAACAATAAAAACACTGTGGCCACATGCAGCCACCCTGCTCTGCCCTCTGTGTTCTTTACTCTGTACGCTCCACTGAGCTACTCTATCTCCTCTCACATTTCAACCCACGGCCTTTTTATGTTTTCTGTCGGCTTTTCAGAGAAGTGCTACGACACCGTACACCTGCGCCATTATGACATCGGAGAGTCTTGGGGACGCATCCACCTCCGTAACGTGGAACAGTGCACATGTGTGGCGGGGGAGATGGAGTGTGAAAGAGTCCGCTACTCAAGTAAGACGTCAGCTTTTGTTCTCTGCTCTGCTTTTGTTCCCTTTGTCCGGCACTTTAACAAACTGTTGAACTAATCAGAATCAGAATCAGAAGTACTTTATTAATCCCCGTAGGGAAATTAAAAAAACTATCAGCAATGAAATATATTTATTCAGCATATTTATTTTTTTCTAATCACATACATATGACTTACAAGGACTTTCCCCAAAAAACCAAAGATAGTGGAAAATATGACCTCCAGAGACGTCTAAGTATCATGTCTCCTCCTCCTGGAAAAAAAAGCTCTTTTCTCTCATTCCAAAACCACCTCCATGGAGAAGATATGAAAGACGCGTCCTGCCCTCTCTTTGATCACAGCTCTATAGTCTGAAGAGAAATCTTTCCATTGAATAAAAAGCAGATTATATGACTCACTGTGACTCAGGAATGGTGTTTAAGGACACACCCCATGGGTCCATACGGAGCTTTCATCTGAACAGTTTGTGGCATAAAGGAGCGAGCAGCACTGAGGTGGTTTCAGACTCCCTGAACCGAAACTGCCAGGGTTTTTTTTTTGTCACACAGTGGCCATGAAAAAAAATCCTTGTACCCGAATGTGCTTTGAGCTGGAATTTGACATTATCTTTATTCCGTACTGATATCAGCTGTATTTATTCATTTGTTTTCTCAGTAAAAGTTTCTAAAGGGGATGAAATCACCTGCTGTTCATTCACAGAGGCCTGTGGTCGTTTGATGGATCCAATGCCGATGAAGCATAACTGTTCCCTGGCACATTTCACAGATTCTGCATCAGATCTTATAGAAACATTTAGGACTTAATATAATAATGTAAAACATTATAATGAATTCATTCATCTTTTTAGGGTTCTTTTGCCGTCTTCTGTGTGTATTTAACAATACAAGGGACTCCTGTGACACTACACGCCAGTTTTTGCTCCATTGTTAAGATGAAAAAATATTGTTTAGTGCAAGAAAGTAGAAAGATAATGTCATGATGCCGATGTAGAAGTGTTTTTCAGACTTTGAAACATTTTGAAATACGCAGGGAATTTTGCACACACAAGAAGTGAATGGTGTTAAGTTGTCGTGTTGTGTGTCTCGATGTGTCCAGCGTGCCGTACGAACCAGTGTCAGAACGACGGAACGTGTCGACTCATCACAGCCACCGGCAGGGAAGTGTGTAACTGCAGGCACGGCTACAGCGGCGCCGACTGTAGCTTTGGTGAGTTCAACTATGTGGCGCTGTTTCCCTCGTTCAATTATAAATAAAGACAAACACACAAAGCTCATATCAGGCTGAAATGAATGGTTCACTGGATTCACGTTTTGCAGTGGCTGCACAGTCTGCGTCACCAGTTCTTGAGTGAAATTATTTATGTTCCCTTCTGTGCATTTGTCCTTTACAAATGTTCCTACAAATGCATGTGTGTTCATGCTTTTATTAATGGCAGCAGGTGGAGACATGAGCAAGCTGCCGAACGCGCCCTCAGTTGTTGCAACTGTGTTCATTCATCTGAACTTGTTCCGACTGATTCCAGTGGAAGGAGAGAGATCAGTCATCACAGAGATACTCATCTGCATCCCCAAACAGTCTCAATGCACTGGTGTTGTTTACATACCTGTGTGATACTGAGTTTGTGTGTGTGTGTGTGTGTGTGTGTGTGTGTGTGTGTGTGCAGAGATGGAGGCCGAGTGCTATAACGCCAGGGGAAAGAGTTACCGAGGGCTGGCGAACACCACGGTGTCTGGAGCCCAGTGTCTGCCGTGGAACTCAGACCTGCTGTACGACGAGCTCCACATGGGAACGGTGGCCGAGTCTCAGCTGAGCGGCCTTGGCGAGCACGCCTACTGCAGGTGTGTGTGTGTGCGTGCATATACTGAGACATCCTGCGAGTTGAATGAAAGATTCTTCAAATTATGGCTTTGAGATGATAATTACAAGCCAGATTTCCTCATATGTTTGTCATCAAATCCCCCCCCCCCCGTGGTGATAAACTGTTTTCAAAGCTTATCTGTCAATAGTGTGTGTCAGCATGTGTCCCCCATATGCACAAGCCCTCAAATCTCCCCAGAGAGAACCAGCAGCCATGAAACCACCACGAGAATTAAAGAAGCACACGGTGAATCCAGCCTATGATGATAAAAAAAAACCCAGAAACAGCTCTTATCTCCTGCACATTCGCTCCTCTTCCCTTTCTCACTGATTTCACTTGTTGCTGTTGTCATGACAACCCATCAGCCATGTAGCATGTCCACAAATAGGAGGATATGTCCTAAAACGTCCCAAACATCAAAGAGACGCCAATTTCTAACAACTGACTGGCAGTCAGACTACAGTCGGGATTTCCTGTTAGTTTAGTGCTGGAAAAGTTGCATGTTGCAGTTTTAATATGAACTAAACATTCTTCATTATAATTGTTCAATCTCCATTTAATTAAAAGCAAATAAATAATGATGGTAATTGATGTGTGAGGCTTCGGTTAGAGATCCAAACCAGCTTTCACCTTCTGAATAGAGACAAAGCCCCGGTATAATCCTTTTAGCTACTGTATTGTACTGAGTAATGCATGGTGCTAAAAACAGTGTATCCACACCTCTACACACAAACACACACACACACACACGCACACTCAGTGTCCACTGTGTTTGTGTGTGTGTGCAGAAACCCAGACAGGGACAAGAAGCCGTGGTGCTACACGCTGAATGACGACGCCATCTCCTGGGAGTACTGTGACGTCCCCTCCTGTGTGATGTCCGTGTGTGAGTAAACACGGCACAGAGAAGAGGTGTTGTGGTAGTTCTGGTGTCAGGAGAACAAGTTTAGAACTGCACAGAACCTGTAATTCTTTCAAAACGGAGTTTTTCAAAAAGGACACGACACGCCCACATACACCTGTGACCTGCACCCATCTCACTTTCTTTAACATTGACAGTTTTTTATGTTTTCCCATGCAGGGAGTAACTCGTGGATCTTGATAAAAACCATTTTATATTTTATATTTATGAGTGTGTGAAATTTGGTGCAGCTTGATTGAATCTCAGGCAGCAGTTGGTGGAGGAGGAATGCGCTCTACTCTAGTTCTCTAAATGAAATCATTGACAAAATCAACGTCATGCTCTAAAAGACTTGAAACTAGAGAGTGAGACATATGAAAACGTTTACTGACATATGTGACATATGTAAATCCAGTGAGAAGTTGAGTCATTCTTTTATTGCCTTCAATAAAAATTCAGTTTTTGTCACCCCCTGCTGGTCATTTGAGAGAACACAGGTTCCAGGCACTTCAGCATCCGCTTCGCTCTCAGGACGCGACGTCTACGTCCATTTTCATTCACAGTCTGTGGTATCGATAGACTTTGATGCTTGGTCGGAATGATAGATTTTTCTCTCATCGTTTCTTTTACTGCACAAATTCTTGTCTCCCCTGTGAAGCGAGATGTCTTATGAACGTTATCAAGGAAGATATATTTTTATTTCATTTGTGTCCTTGTCATTATAAATTATGAAAAGTGTGAACCAGACTTTTCCTGAAGGTCAATTCCTACATCATTCAATCACTGACTCTTTGTCTCAGACTTGATTAAATGACACAGTCGGTGACTCTGACTGAATCTGAGAAACATTCAAAACACTGCATGAAATAAAAAAAACACAGCTTATCTCTGCCGAGTCACTGCTGCTGCAACAAGCTGAATTCAGAGGGAGTTCGGCGATGGGCCTTTTTCTCCAAGACGTGGGTTAAGATGAGACAGGAGGGAAATAAGCCAGAGTGAATCAACATGTCACATCACGTGAAGCCAAATGTTTATGTGGTGAGGGGGATTCAGCCGTTTGTCAGGATGCCAGGTTTAGGAACAGAATCCACAAACTCCCCATTTTATTTACAGATGAAGCTGCTTCCTGCAGGTGGGAAATCAGCAGCAACATATTCAGGGGATGTTTTTAGGGAGTGAGTGAGCAAGTTAATGTAGTGTTCTAGCTGATAGACCAGTTTATGATGATATTTCCTGTTTTTGTGATTTATAACCATGCACTTATTTCCTCGTGCAGCTTCTTCTCGAAGGATTATCCCGTTGAAGACCCCGAGGCCCCCGAAGCCAAACAGAAAGCCTGTGTGCGGGAAAAAGCACAAGAAGAGGCTGTCGATAGCCAGGGGGCGGATAATGGGAGGAAACGCAGCTCTGCCGGGCACTCACCCCTGGATGGTGGCGATTTATATCGGGAAGTCCGACTTCTGCGCCGGCAGCCTCATCTCCTCCTGCTGGGTTGTGTCTGCGGCGCACTGCTTCTTCCGCAAGTATGGAATATACGCAATAGTGGATGTTTTATAGAAATGTTACTGCAGATCAAGGAGGGGGTTTGATGCACTTTTGAGACAATGTAATATGTATAAAGACATGTTGTGACCCTGTTTTCTGTCCTGGGAAGAGGTCACAACTCAAAATGTGCGTCATTCAAAGACTGTGACCCCCTCGGCTTCACAGCTTTATAAACACACTATATTTAGAGCGGTGACCAGTTCGAGGAAAACCTAAAAACGCCTCGTGCACAGATGCTGTTTACGTGCGAATGCCTCCATTTGCTCCTGATGTCAACAAACAAGCATCTGTTCAAGTTCTAAGATCTTTTGTTCAAGCATTAAATCATGAAATTGGACGTTCATGGCTAAACTGCTTTCTTATCAGCTTTGATAAGAGTCCACCATGTTGATTACACGCCACAGTACAAAATCATTTTGTGAACATAATAATGATAACTTTATTCATAGAGCACTTTCCAACACAAAGTACAAAGTGCTGCACAAAAAGAAGCCAGGTACAGGAAGTAAATAAATAAAAATGTTAATAATAATAATAGAGACAAAAGAGCAACAACAAGATATACTTTATTTAAAAAGTATGTTTTTAGCAGAGAAGTAAAAGAAGACATCTTCTAGAAAGCTCCTTGGGGCCCTGATGGCAACTATATAAATAAATATGAATGTAATAGATCGATTTCATGGCCCTGCACCGGTTGGATTTGACTGTTTCTTGTGCAAATGTGGGATAGATTGATGATAAAATGGTATCTCAGGCTTCAACGTCTGGAGACAGTTCAAAGAAATCCTGCAGCCGGCAGTTGTTAGAGATAACTTGTCTCTGGGCTGAAATGTTGGACAGTTAGAGCCAGTATTGATTTAAAATACAAAAAACTGTCTCCCTGCAGCCCGCTGAGGTCTCAGCTCCGCGTGGTCCTCGGCCAGCAAAACTTCAACGTCACCGGCCCCAACACAAGGACGTTCGGAGTGGAGGAGTACGTCTTCCCAAATCAGTTTTCAGTGTTTAATCCTACGCTGCATGACATCGGTAATCATTCACTGCACACACACACACACACACATGCAAATGACTCATGAACAGGAAGATCTCCTGTCCTTATTCAGAAAAACACAAATTCACTTAAGACCCCAGCCTGTGTGCACAGCTGTGCGTCACCGAACAGCTGTGTTTCTGTGCCCCCCCCTGCACACACACACACACTCTCACACACACACGGAGTCTCCATGTCTACCACTTGCTTCATCACTCTATCTCCCCCTCTCTCCTCCTGTTTTGACAACTTATTATTTTCCGTCGCTCAGTTCTGATCAAGCTGAAGAAGCAGGACGGGCGTTGTGTGAGGAGGACGCCGTTCATCCGGCCCATCTGTCTGCCGGAAAAAAGCATGACCTTCCCCGATGGCTACTGCTGCACCATCAGCGGCTGGGGACACATGCACGAGAGTGAGTGATGAAGACGTCACGGCTGCACCGTGTCACAGCAATGTCATCATGACAACAACTACCTGCATCCCCATGTTTCAGTAACGTCACATTCAGTCAATGACAAATGATTTATTTTTATTTCAATGTGGAAGTGTCAGAGCTGAGGCAGTGTTTGTTTGCAAACTTTGTCTTTATTGTGAAACTACTTAGATATTAGAAACATTATCTCTGAACCAGGATTAGGTTTTGGCAGCTCTTCACAAATCCATGAATAAGTTTGTGTGAAAATCCTTCTGAGGTTAGAAACTACTCACTTTTATTAACGACTTTAGTGATGTATAAATCTGTAGCAGCATTTAATTCGAAACTAGAATGGCTCTCAGGAGTGCTCATACTTCCACCAAGGTAAAAAATACAGGGGCACCACAAGCTATAACACAACTTCACACAAATTAAAGTTGTTTAGGAACCTGCTGGATTTTAGATTCTGTTGTTTCACCTTCATATTGAAAATTTTATGGAAAATCATTAATTTATGTGTCTGTAATTTCATAATAAGTCTCTATGGAAGAGGTACAGATTCCAGACTCGTTATAAGTCACTTATTTTAATCAGAATTGAGTTGAATTTGAATTTATATGTGTATTCTTCCACGCAGGTGTTTTCAGTCTGTAATTATACCTCTACCCACACACACACCCACACACCCACACACACACACACACCCACAGGAGGCTAATCAGGCTGATTAAGTAGGAGCCTTGCAGTAAAACACAGAACAAAGCAGAGCAGCAGTTTAACATGTGGACTGTCTTCATGTGGCAGAGGATGAACTATACTCGACTCTGCAGGAGGCTGGAGTCAGACTGATTCCTCACGACACCTGTAAGAAGCCTGAAGTCTACGGCAACCACGTCACCGCCGACATGATGTGTGCCGGACTCAACGGCTGCTCAGACGCCTGCCAGGTAAGAAAACATATGAGGCTGGAATATTGAAAAGTGTGAGCTAATCTTTTACTGAGCCACAGGGCCCTCGGTGATTCACTCTGTTGTGTTCCATATCTGACTACTACAAGGATTTAATTTAGAGAATAAGCTGGAAATGGTCATTACCCATGATACCCAGCTGCTGCCTGATTCAGAAGAGCTGCAGCTGCAACAAATGCACCAAACTCCTGAAGTGCAGTGTCACAGGATGATTGTACAATCAAGTGAAAAACATTTATACATAAACACAAATGTGCAAAAGTTATTTTCTGTAAAAATGATATAAAAAGTATGACTTCTAAAAGTATTTTTAACTGATCAAACAGTTCAGCATTACTCTTGAACTTACTTGTCCTGATTCTGATATTTCAAACTATTATGAACTTCTTGTCGGAGATCGTACCGGCTCAAAAAACAAGACGTTCAGGTTGAGGGGTGGGAATGAAAGAGGAAACATTCTCCCTTTTCAAAGTCAGTGAAGCATCAAACTGGTTTTGAAGCTGCATAATGTTGCTTTGATGTTGTGTTGTGTGAATCCAACCAAGCTAAATTTAAACGTACAAAGAGCGACTGCTACCTGCTCCTGTTCTTCTTTTATTTCTCTTCTTGCTTGTGGGGAATATTTGAGGTTATGACTGAATGTGTGAGTGTGTGACAGATGTATAAATACTCCTGATGACCTCCTGCTTATCAGGAAGTTGTGTCAGACACGATGGGAAGATGGTGAGTGTGTCAAATATTTATGCTCCTTCCTCTTAAATTAAATGTCATTTTACCTCCTGGGTAGATCGCAGGGTTCTAATAAGTCTGGTTGAAGTGTGTGTGTCTGCGTGTGTGTGACTCAGCTGCTTGTACGCCTCTTGTTTTCTCTGTGCATGAATGTTTGTGTGTGACTGAATCCACTTGTGTGTGTTTGTTGACCCCAGGGCGACTCTGGGGGCCCTCTGTCCTGTGCGAGGGATGATGTCAGCTTCCTGTATGGGATCATCAGCTGGGGCGAGGGCTGCGGCCGCTCTGGAAAACCTGGCGTTTACACTAAAGTGGTAAATTATATCGATTGGATCAACTCAGTGATCCGTCGTAAAGCCAAAGCTTCATGAGTGAAAATTGACGCGGACATTTGCTTTAATATGAGATGTACTGTATTTTATTATAACTGTTTTTATAATAAAGCTTGTGGAAGTTTATGCGTTCTCTTTTAACTGTGAAACATTTTGACTGAATAAACCTTCACTGACTTGAAACTTTGCGTCTGTAATTCATCTCTGTTTTGTTGTTGTCCAAAGCTTTCAACTGTTTGACATGTTCTTCATCAGTAGTTGAAGTTTGATTCGTGCCTGTGTGTGTGAGCTCAGTCATTGATATTTCAGACGTTGAACAGTTGGTTCTTTCTGACTGAAACAATCTGAGCTCAAAGTCACTTACTAAACTTTTTCAGGAGGTTTTAACTGTGTCATTGTGATTGTGTTCTTATAATGGAAACAACTTTAAAATGACTCATTGCACAGTTATGCAAAGTAGTTTTCCTACTTTGTACAATATATATGCATTTATTTATATAAACACTCAGTTTATTCTTCAACTTAAGATTTCAGCATATTGTACCAAGTAGTTTGTGTGGTCACAAGTTTCTTACTTAGAAGGTGTAATATATTTACATGTGTTTAAAGATTTTACTTGTGTCAGGTCAACTAGCTGCAAAATATTTTCAGCTACTTTTTTCATTAATGTGTTTGTCTCATTCCATTTTTAATGAAGTAAATGTTTTCAGAGATGCATTTGATGAAATGTGTTATTTGTGATCAGATTAATGCGATTGTCTCTCCTGCTAGTTTTCTGTCCTGCAGCAGATGCAGTGAAGCGGCCTGGTCGTCCTCTTCGAAGGTGTAACGTATTTACACAAGTCTCTGATAAAGAAGGGGTGAGTAAAGTGTCTTTACATTTTAAGTTTGATGTTTGTCTCTGCAGTCAGATAATGTGTAAGAAGTGTTGAATGTTACTGCATTAAATAGGCTCTAGCTCCTTATTTTAATGACCTGTGTGCTCTTAATGCATATTGTTTAATATATATTGGAATTATTTTTTTTTAAATTAAATGAATGTTTAATTAAATGTGTTAGTACTTTTCCATTTTAAGTGAAGTTTGTTGACTTTTAAAAGCTACATCATGATGAAATGTTGTGTAACTATCAGTTTAATATGCTAGTTTCTCCATTTTGAAGTGAGTTACAGACACAGTTTTAGGAAAGGTTATTTGCATTCATCAGATTAATTAACGAGTTTGCATTTGTGTCTTTACAATTTTGAAAAAGTAAAAAAATAAATGTTTGTTGCTCATTTTAAAAAGTTTTTTTTTCTTCCATTTTTAAGGAAATGTTATTTGTAATCCTCAGATCACGTGGTTTGTCTCTCAGTAGTTCTGTGTCTCTGCAGCTCAGGTGGCAGCAGCCTGGTCCTACACACACACACACACACACACACACACGGTGGTCATGCCATTTTCCATGTGCTTTGCTGGGGGCGAGTTTTCACCCCTCACACTCACACACACACAGAGAGAGAGAGAGAGAGAGGGAGCAGCTATTTTGAAAGTGACCCCTCAGTCAGTGTGTGTGTGTGTGAGGGACAGAGACGCTGCAGCTGTCAGGAACTATGACTGAAGATGACGGACTCAGTTGTCGTGGAGGGATACGCCAGACTCCGAGATGGAAAAAAGGTTTAAACTCCACCACGTTGTGTTGACGGAAGTTGTGCACTTTAATCTGAGCGATAACAACAAGTGTGTTGAGCTGTTTCTTCTTCTTCTTCGTTTTTTTTCACAGTGGAAAACCAGGTGGCTCGTTCTACGGAAGCCGTCGCCGGTAGCAGGTAACAACTCTTCGTTGTTTCCGGTAGTGTGTTGTTGTTGTCTGGATGTGAATGTGTGGTGTGGATGTGGATGAAGGTGCAGTGTAGCTGTAGGAGAGATACAGTTGTTGTCAGGAGCTGCCATGTTTGTTTCTCTGTCGCCCGGTTTGTGTTGGTGTGTTCACAGCATGGGCCCAGAGGCTGACACTCAGGGAAACTTTCGAGTTGTGTTGTTAAAAACACGTAAAGTAAAACCTCAGACACTGTCACACGATATGTTGTTTGCTGCAAGTTCCGTTTTTTTAGTGTCGTAAACTCTGACGTAGATTTTCGGGGTTTTAAAGGCCTCGATTCGAGCCTGTGACGTGAAAGTGATATTTGTCTCTCACACATTGAATCTTTCACATCTGTACAGTTGCTGTTTGTGTAGCTGCACTGTTCATGTCATATAAGAAGACAGCAAGTGATAGAAATCAAAGTGTGAAGTTAAATTTCTTTGTATAGCAACAAATCACAACTTGCATGTACTTGGTAGAGTTGAGACGTCCCAGAAATTACCGAGGAAAAGGCATCGTATAAAGAAGTGAAATGAACAGGATAAAAGTAACGATGGATGGCTAAAAGCTTTTGAGTGAGATGCAATGATAAACTCAACAATATTAGAATTGCTTCCAAAGAAGATAGGATGAGAGTTGAACATGGGAAAATGGAACAAAATGTGTTTTAGCCGGGTCAAAGGTTTGCATTCAAGAGTTCTTTGTATTCAGGACGTACAAAGGCTGAGTTTTTATATATTTGATTTATTTGTACTGCCTTTTAAAAAAAAACTCTAACTTAAAGATGAGATTAAATAAGGTTGAATGTGCTGAACGCTGATAGTCTAACCCTTGCTTGTATTTTTAGATGCATCATGAATGTGCACTTATAGTGAATCTGTGTCTATTACTGATGTTACGTAGTTTGAATTTCCCTAAACTCTTGTATTTATCAATGACCTGGCTATTCTTTTTAATGGCTGAGCCTCTGTGGTTCAGAGCGATGAAGAGAAAACGTTCCTCTGCGATGTGGATCCGAGCAGCTTCACATGCTCCGCAGGTTAGACTGAGGTTCGGTGCTGCTCCTCCTCAGATCTTTGGTGTCAGTGTTATCACAGCTGTGTGCTCTCATCCCTCAGTTATGTGCGTTAGGAGGTGTGTTGGTGTGAAGGAGAGCGACGCACACAGACACACACTGTCTTGTTTTGTCAGTTGACAATGATTGTTTCACGGTGCCAAAGACAAAAGGACACTGCAGCATCTACTGTCAGAATGCATCTTATTTGACATTGGAAATTGTGGATTTCAGCCTTCTAGTTATATTTAGGGCAGAGGTATGTTTTTAAGTAGTCTGGAAATGAAAGGTTAAGTGGCATCCGTCTGAAATCGTGTTTTTCTTCCTCCGTCATGTCTGATATTAACTCTCTGATTCCTCCAGACTGCCTCGTGCTGCTGGTTTTTAAAGACAAGTCCGACAAAGCTCAGGGCAACAAGGAGAGAGCCAGTGTCACCTTGGAGGAGATCTGTGGCCTGGAGGCAGGACAGTGGTATGAGGGTGTTGCCTTCACCCTGGGCATCCTCTGCCTGAACCAAGCTGCTCTACTGGGCTTCGACAGCAGAGAGGCCCTGCAGGCGTGGGACGTCCGCCTTCAATACAGCCTCGGAGAGGGTGAGAGAATCTGTTGGTGCTTTTACTCCCATGATTTGTGTATCGCTTCCCTCTTCTTTAAAATGTCTTTTTCCTGGACAAACCTTTTGGAAATGTCATCTGACCTGCTCGCTCTGTAGTTAAAGAACAAGCAGATTGGTTCATCTATCACACTGGCAGGTTTCACTGTTGGAAAACTCACTGCAGTCAAATAAAAGTGCCCTGTAATTTACCAAACCTGCTGGAAACAGTTTTTGGACTTGCATAAGTAAGTTTACACCTTTTCATGAGCAACAGTTCAGAAGTTAATGGAAGCAGAGAGGAAGGATGACGACTAATAAGTGTGAACATCAACTGTGGAAGTTTTTTTTTTTTGATAAGTCTTCACTGCCTCTGGAACTAAAGTCTATATATGGTTAATCCAATTTGAAAGAAATGCACAAAAATGTGTCCACTGCTGTTATTTGAGTACTGGTTGGTTCACACAGAATCGATTAGTGGTGCAACTTAAACATTGAACCACTGCAGAAGATGAGGACACAATTAAAATTGACAAGCCACAAAAGTAGAAATAGTTTGAAATCTTGCATTTATCTTGTATTGATGTGCGGACTGTAACAAACTCATTATTGCTCCGTACAGATATTGGTTGTGTCACAACTTGCCGTAATCTCTGCGCTGTATTAAATTTCAAAAGTTCACTTTACACTTAACAGGAGCACAGTGCATGATGGTCTATATTGCTTGGTTGGTGGCCATTCGTTAAATACTTTAATGATGCACTGTGAGATATCCACTGGTTTATAATTCTACTAAACATTCAGACAGCTCTACAAAATGTCAAAATAACTCGACAGTGATAAGTGTGGGATTTTGGACACGGCCCTGGTGTTTTTATCTGCTGCTACTTTCAGTCTCATCTTCTCTACCTCATCTGAGCAAAACCCTTTTTATTTTGCCCTTAGTTGAGGAAAAGATTCTGAAATTCGTGCATTTCCACATTGCAGATGTACAAATAAACAAGAAGATGAGAACCCCCCTTTAGGAATATTCTACAGCCTTTTAACCACAGCAACAAACCCGTCTCTCTGCATTCAATGAGCTCAGTTTAAAGTCTTGTATCCAGGAGCTGGATTTATTGAAAGCCTCACAGGTGATCAGCAGGATCCTGCAGACGCTGCTGTTGAAAGGGAAATTAAGGCAGCACACAGGGTTAAGAATCGCTGCAGCTTTGTTGGATTAGCAGCACTGTACAGTCGTCCAGTCTGGAAGAAATAAAGGGATTGATAATTGATTGGAAGTCAGTCTGACAGACACATTGATAAGTACCTCAGCCAAGAGGCTTTAGAAGTTTTTCCGTTCCGCAAAAAACTTCAAAAGAGATTTCCGTGGAAGGGAACAAACCAGAAATGCATCAGGGGATGGATCCAACAGATTGGGGGGTTTTCAGCATTTTTGTTGCCTTCTCAAGGAATAATTCATGGATCATGGGAAATTGGTCATAATTAGGGGATTGATTTTAATATGAATGCAGATTCAAATCTGGTTCTAGTGAAATTGAATGTGGTTTCATGAGGGGACTGTTGGGCCTTGGCGGTGGTTTACGCTCTGAGTGTCATTCTAGTTTCGTAATGACAGAAAGTTAAATCTGCAAGTAATTCTTTTTTTTTTTTTTAAACTAAGCTTTAGTTAATGTAGTCAGGGTGTT